CCACTGTATATATATATATATATATATATTTAAAAATATAACTGAAATTAGTTACTTGCAATCTTATTCTTTGAAATCAAAAGCAATTTTAGATAGAATTTTTTAAAGTATGTAAATACTTTTAAAAATTCTATTGCATTATTATATAAACTACTTAAAATTACATTTACATTGAAACAAGTTCATGTGCATTTAAATATGCTAATTTATTTTATTTAGGGTTGCCAACTGTATCATTTTGACCCCAAGATTTCAGATTTAGAACAATTTCTTCAGGCTCCAAGTCTACATTTTTTTCTCCAAGTTATTGTTGGTTTTAAAATATGTCTAACCGTTCATGTCAAATATTTTATCTTTAATCAATTAAAATAACTACTCATCACATGTGCAAAACCAAAGTTTTTGATTTTGCTGATATAAGACAGGAAAGTTGAATCATTTAGCACACGATCCCAATCTTGTGCTAAAATTGTTGACTTGCACCTGATCCACAAATTGTTCATCCTTCAAATACTAAAATAGAAAGTACTGTATTTTATACTCTCTATTCTAGTATTTGGAGGATAAACAATTTGTTATTGGATGTTTGTTAATAGGCAAACATTTTATGGCACGTCCTGATCTTTACTATGTAAAAACAATTGTAAGTGTGCATGTCAGTATTGAATTTGTTGTACAAACGAGCAATTATTTATTGTAACATCATCACAATGCCAGGCTGAAATTTTTAATCATATTTTTAATTTTTTTAATTTAAAATATATGCTCTCCACCTCAAATTAGTAGTGGCTTGCCCCTATACATCATACTTTTCCTTTAACAGTAGAGTTGTGCAGGTCATCTATTAACTGCTTTCAGGGGAAAAGATTTGAATTGAAATAATGTGACTTCTAGTTTGCATCAAAAGTTCATATATAGTTAATCAGGGGCCTCCTGCCACTGAGGTTTCCATATCTGGTCTTGTGTTTCATCTATCTACCTCCATTCTCTAGATTAAGGAAAGACAGACGGACAACAGTGAGAATTTAAACGTCTACAATTTTTTCAAATTGCAGCCCAATAATTTTCCTGTTACAGTCAGTATGGAGAGGTGATAAACAGACTGCCTCAAATTACTAAAATCAGAACTTGCTATTGGATTTAATTTGTCCTGTGGAGTTTTCTTCTTATATTAATATTTGTATCTAGATTTGCAATTACATAAATTTATATATAGGCTATATTATAATTTTGTTTACTGCTAAAATTTTTATTATGTATGCTATATGTATAATAGTGCTGTACTAATTAAAATTGTTCTTTTATGATTTTTCAAGTAATTTTGTAATGACAATTTTTTTTTTTTTGTTACATTTAAAGGTCAGATAAGATTAAGAGTTGGCAAGCTTAATTTTATTACTTCATTATTTGCATTTTATGTTAGTAATTAATATGAAGAACATTCTCATGTAACAATAAATATGCTTTATCAACTAAAAGAAACAAAATATTTACATTTGTTATAAAATCTTTTTGATTTTATATTTGTTATAAAATATTTTTGATTTTATAACAAATGTATTGTATGTGCTAGGCCCAACAAGCCAAGTGCACCTCAGCCTGAAAGGTCCATCATGTACAAACTCAAAAGTATATATTTAACAACATTAATATCCTAACAAAAAAAGCTAATTTTATTTCTTAATTATATATTGATATGTACTGAGTATCACTGATTAATTTAACCAGATATCTTGTAACATTTTAGACTAATAATATTAAAATGATATTTATTTTTAGTGTTATAGATTTAGAATATAATGACAAAAGGAAGTTGTTTAAAGTCTATTATTCAAACAACTTTTCCTGCAGTTATTATTTATCAACAACTATCTAGTATAACAATAGAAATAATTTTGCTAAAAATAAGAAGCATTATATTTTAAAACTTGTCTCACAGTTTAATTTGTATTTAAGTTACTTATTTCTATATCATGTCCAAAAATGCTTGTCATGTAATCATGCAATAATTCTCACATATTAATAGCATTACTATTTATATCTATAAGTGAATAGCAATTAATGGCAAGTTGTTTATTAGATCTAAACCAATTTTTAAGAGAGACAGTTATGGCTTTCATGTTAATCTTTAAAAAGGAAAATATATCCATGTTGCAATTGAAAAAATTTTCTATTTTTACACAAATAATATGGAATAACTTTCTCATCAGAACAATAGCAATGATTAAATAAATTATAAATTTATTAATATCATTATATATATATATATTATGATATTATGATTAATCACATTGACCTAAATTTATATATTAAAATTTTTTAAAGACATTTGAATAAGTTTAAAATTAAACAATAAAATATTCAATGGTACTCAATATCTTTGAAGTCAAGCATCTGATTTGTATAGAAAGACCAAATATATCAATACAGACAATTTTCAATTTAGTAAATTTATCAAATATTGATATAATTAAGCTAATAAATGTATTAATACGTAAAAGAATTTGACACGCCTAATTTAGTATTCATTTATAATTTGGATATAATTAGATCATTAAATTCTTTTAATTATTAATGATCTAATTATATCCAAATTAATTTATAATCATAATTTCACAATCTACATAATGGATCAATGACCATATAATGTTTCAAGAAACCTCACAATCAACTTAGCAGAACAGCAGCAAAGCTCTTCAAATGTTTTCTTCAGGAAACAAGAGTTCCAAAATGGAATGCTTAGAACATGCATGCAAAAATTTGATTGTATGGAATTTAACATTTTAATGCAATTACATCTTCTGAATTACAAATGTCCATTGGATGCATGTTGGTTTCAGAGCAATGCATCATACCAGGCTTACCATACCCTGGAAACAGGCTTCTCTGTAATTGATGTAGTTCATGGTGGCTTTAATAATTTCTAGGGACTCCAAGTAATTTATTTAAGCACATCTCAGGTTAATTTATTTCCAGATATATCTTATCATTGTCTAAATATAGGATACATGAGAGACAAGAAAAGTGTTTGACCCAGAAGAATATGGACAGACAACCTCAAGAGCTGAAGTGGTCACAACTATATGACACTGAAAATGAAAGCTCAATATCAAGGTGAATGGAGCTTTTTATTGACAACCTTCATTTCAGAGATGACATGTATTGATGAGTTGATAGATCTAGCCTATCAAAATTTGCTAAATAAATAATACCCAATTATTTTGGATAAGATATCTTAACTCAAATAATACTAATTTCAGAAAAAAATTCTAAATTTATATATGTAAAGACAACACTTTTGAAATAAATTCTTGTATAATAAAATATGAATTAAAAAACAAAAATGTTATTTCTTTTAAATAAGGATAATTTTTTTTTGGTACATAGAAAATCATATTATATAAATACATGAAAATCAAAACAGATAAATCTATAAAGAAAGTAAATGTTAACTTTTCAATTGCTTTATTCATCTGCCTTGTAGATGCACCATGTTACAGTGGAACGAGCACATCTCATAATAAATAATTCACATAATGAGCAAAACAAATTGTAAAAAAAATGACTCGCTTAACTAGCAACATTTTGCATAATGAATAAAATTCTGAAACAAATTATTTGTTAAGCAAGGTTCCACTGTATTTTTATACAAAAGATAAGCTATATAACATGTTTCTTTTTGAAATAAGTGAGAAAAACTGAAGCAAAAGAAACAAGCAAATATACATTAATAATAAAAAAAAATAATGAATATAATCTTAATAAGAGAATGTAAAGTTTGTATTTTATCAAATCAAACTTCAAAAAATATTTGTTCAAATAAAGTTCTTATTTAATAATCATATGCTTAAATATCATCTTCATTTCAATTTAAAATAAAAAATAAATAAATTTTTGTTTTCTGTGAAGCTTTTAATGTTTAAAAAGTTATATTTATTGAAATAAGTATATGTAGAATTATTTATTATTAAAATAATAATATAAATTATTTTTACCGTTGACATCTGCTTAATTCTTTGTGTTGCAGCTTCATGTGCTCTATATAAATCAATGGTACTTGAAACATCAGGATTCAGAATATTTCCATGATCATCCCTTACAACTAAGTCCAAATCTAGAATACTGAATAATTTTAAAATTTTAATTTCAAAAAATTTTATTCTGAAATTTAATCATTAATAGTTCATTTCTCTAAATCTANATTGTAATATTTATCTAAGTGAAAAATGTTTCATACTTTTACCCGAACAATATAATTACAACACACAGTCTCTCATATTTTCAGGTTAACAATCAGGTTCTTAATTGGACACTCCTTTACAGGTTTAGTCAGTTGTATCAACAAGTTATGTAGAAATTATATTAAAATTCATTAATAATTTTTGGGATTTACAACCTTATAGCACCTTAATTTACCAAGAAAATTCAATGCTTCCCTCTTAAAACTTCAAAGAAATGAATCCCAGTGTAATCTTTAACACAAGATAATGTAATCTAGGTTTACTTATTCTCACTATTAAACAGACATGATGCATAGATAAAAACTTAAGATTGTATTTATAGTAATTTCCTATTTTATTCATATAAGATATTGGAAATATCGCATACTTGTTCGAGCTCTGGCAAAAGATGAGACATGTTCACGCTTTCATGACGTCCGTCGATTTTTATTCATTCAAAAATACAGTAAATATAAATAGCACGAGACTGGTACCACCGCCTTACTTTCTAATCGACTTCCATCTTGCATGTTACGCTTCGCTAAGCGCCCTCTGTTGGCCAAAATCATTTTTAATACGATATCGTTTTTTTTAAAGTAATTAATTAATTATAAATTATCAAGTAATAAATATTTGTCTTAATAATTTTTTTCGGTTATAAAATATTAGAATTAAAATGAGTCTAAAATTTTAAATTAAAAAAAAGTGTTTGTATTTTTACAAACGTACAAAAATTCAAATTTAACCAATGAAATTTTAGTCTAATTATTTAAAATTAATTTCTGAAATATTTGTATTATTATTTTTTTAATTGAAAATTGTTTTTTAAATCGTCTTATCTTTTTTTTTTAATAATTAAAGTTTCGATTTATACTATATTATGCATATTGTCAATTTGCAATTTATGCTAACAAAAAAAAACCTTATTTGTGAAAAATACTCATTTTATTATATATTTTATTTTACAAGATAAATGACAATGAAATAGTTTTAAACTTTATTGACAAAAATCGTAAAATTTTATTAAAATGCTGATACAATTATACAATAAACAAATGGTTGAAGTGTCAAATTATCACCTTAAAATATTATAATGCTTTTTGTACTTTGACAAAACAAAGTCTTTACAATACACAAATTATTCATCTTCACTAAAATTTAAAAAAAAATATATTCACTTAATTATAACATTAAAAATTCTTAAGAAAATTTGATAATTAAAAAATAAAATTAAAATGCATAATGCTTTCATTATTTTTTTTTTTTGTTCTGTATAAACTCTTGAATTGTATCATAGCAATTTCAATGCACCTCAGTTGTGAATAAATAAAACAAAAACAACTAGTAGCAATGCCAGAATGTTCATTGTAAAATTTATTAAAATATTATAAAATAAAATCATAGTTAATGTAAAAAGTTTCAATGTACAACTGCACCATATACCTACAAGTTAGGATATTTGGTTAACACATTTCCTAGGTTAGATAACAATGACCTATGTTATTTTAATGTAGAATGTAGAAAGTGGAATGTATATCATTAAAACATACTTTTATACCCCTTTTTTTTATCCTGGATTATGTGATCAATTATATTTTGTGACCATACAGAATATCTTAACAGCATAAAATATATATTTTTTTAAAAATTGAGAAATTTTCCTATCATAAATATACATAAATATCCGTTCTAAAAAAAAATTTTTTTTGCAGATTATCAAGTAAATTTTAATATGATATTAAAGAAAATAAAATTTATATTTTAAACATCATTCTTAATTAATTATTAATATTTTCTTGTTACATTTTTATTTTCAACCATATTATTCTTTCAAGTATCAATTCACCAATACATTTACACTGTGATATTTTTCTTCATTATTATTATTTTTTTAATTTCAAAAACATTATGTAAGAGTGATATGCATTTAATAATAATAAATAACATAACTGCATACTGAGTTTATTAATAAAGAATCATCATCAAAGATAATATAATAGTCAAAAAGAAAGACCTAACACAGTATTTCTTAATATCAAAATAATTGTCACACATTAAAAACAAATTTTGTCTAATATATATGTGATATTTAAGTTCACTTTCTTCTTTTTTTTTTTTGACATAATACAGGCATATCTCATTTTAAAACACTTCACTAATACAGCACTTGCTTTTCTCTTAAAAAAAAAAAAAAAAGAAACCCTTATTTATTATTTTTTTGCATTTCTTCAGGTCTAGTGCTATTGCACATTTAATAAAATGGTAGGATAGACACAATTTTAGGCTTTTACTTACACTGGTAAATGAAGAAAATGTTTGCTTTAAAATGACATTCACCTTACTGCTGTTGTCTGTAACCTAACCCGTTGTACCTTTGATTATAAGCGTACAATGTTAACAAGATATGCCTATAATGAAAATTAATTTGATACTGAAGAAATTATTGAAATAAAAGTAGAAAAATATTTAACTTTTCTTAAATATTTTATTTTGAAATAATAAATGTGTTTGAACTATATCTGAAAAGACTTTAACTTAAAGAATACACTTTTACTTAAAGAATTAAGTACAAATTTACTCAAACACAACATTAAACTGAACAAAAGGTTAAAAGTTCCATTATAAAGAATTGAAGTATCTTAATCTTTATTCTGGTTTATTTTGATGTTATATGTGAGTAAATTTTTACTTTATTATAGTCATAATATTCAGATGCCTGTTAGTAAATCATTTGAAAAGAAAATTAACATTTGCTGTAAGTGTAATAGAAATTGATATGATAAATTAATCCAAATTTGGATAAGAAAGAATTTTTCTTTATACAATAAATGTTTATACACAAAAACATAACATTGTAAATTTGTATATTTTTGTGTAATGTAAAATGATTAACAAATATATTACAAAAATAAATGACTAAAAATTGCATAAAATATTGGGTTGTTCGGAAAGTAATTTCATTTTTTTACCACTAGACGGATTAGTCGTATTTTTCCCGCCATTTTCATTCTAAACTGTATTATCATTATATATTTTGACAGCTAGCATTTTAAGGGCTTATTTTTAAAAAATTTTGTTTGATTTTGTGTAATTGTTTATTTTTTGTGTCCTATCAAATATGGAAGATTGAAAGCAGCATTTTTGGCATATTTTTGCTCTATTATTACCGGAAAGGTAAGAATGCTGTTCAAGCGAGAAAAAAATTGTGTGACGTGTATGGAGAAGATGTATTGACAGAACGACAGTGCCAAAAGTGGTTTACAAAATTTTGTTCTGGCAATTTCAATATTGAAGATGCACCATGTTCTGGATGAACAGTCAAAGCCAATGAAAACAAAATAAAGGTACTGATTGAAGCAAACTGCCGAATAACAACACGTGAAATCACTAAGAGATTAAATTTATCAAATTGAACTGTTTATGATTACTTGAAACAAATTGGTTTCGTCTCAAAGCTTGATATATGGGTTCCACATGTTCTTAAAGAGACATGCTCTTTTTGGTGGGATTTTAAGGGAATTTTTTTTTGGAGCTTTTACCAGACAATTTAACAATTGATTCGAAAGTGTACTGCCATTGAGTAAACAAATTGAGTAATATCATCAAACAGAAAAGGTGGCCAGAATTGATCAACAAAACAGGTGTAGCATTTTACCACAATAATGTCAAATTTCACACAAGTTTGGTAACTGGTCAAAAACTGTTATAACTTAGATGAGAGGTGCTATAACACCAACCATATTCGCCAGATTGAGCACCCTCAGATTATTACTTGTTCCGGTCTATACAAATTTTTTTAACTGTAATACATTTACTTGAAATGACAATGTCAAAAATCACTTGGATCGGTTTTTTGTAAGCAACGATCAAAACTTTTATGAATGTGAAATCATGCTACTACCAGAAACGATGACAACAGGTATTTGACCAAAATGGACAATATATAATTCAATAAAATATTTATTTATTATAAAAATATTGTGTTTTTTTCCACGGAAAAAAGTTAAATTACTTTCCGAACAACCCAATATATGCAAAAGCAATGCCAAAATAGGGAGAATTCTATATTTCTATATATATATTTTTTAATTCTATATCTAAAAGTCACTCAAAATAGAATATAATCATAAATTAAAAATTAATGGTCTAAAACCACATTCCTGAAAATAAGTATCAGCATCTCTAGACTTGAATTTAAAAGTTTAATCTTTTAAAAATGGAAAATATTAAACTAAAAGCATTTGTAAAATGTGTTATTACTATTTTAAAAAGTGTTTATTTTATGCAAATATATATATAATATAATTATGATTATGACAAGAATTTAATATATGAAGAAATCATTATTTAAAATTAAGATAATAAAATGAATATTGAAAATTATTTTATAAACCAATCAAGAAAAGACAGAAAATGAAAAAGTCACTTTAGACAGAGTATTTAAATGATTCCAGTTGAGTCATTCTCTGTTATTAGAATTCAACTAGTTCATGGATGCGGGGAGGGAAATCCTTGATTTCTGCCAAGTTATGTCAGAAATATATAAACATCTCTAATATTATCATTTCTGTAAATTTATTTTTTTTAATGTTCTAAATATGTATGATGATAATTATTATCCTTTTTGAGTAAAGCGTATTATCATCTGTTCATTAAGCCATTTGAAATGAAGTATCTTTTGCAAAACATGTTCAATGATCAATTTGAAATTCTCGAAGCACCTTGGTGGATTCCATAACAGGGGTTAATATAACATGCAAGAAAATCTTTGACTTGAAGAAAACTGTGACAAAAGAAGTATCAAGAGATCCTGAATTTTAGAAAGGTTATTCAGAGTATCATCATATCAAATATTTGTTAGAGTGTGTCACTAATAAAAGCAATGTAAAATTGACATTTGATGATATGGAAAGGTTGCTCAACACTTCTTATTTGTGAATGTGGTATTATTGGCTCTTTGATTCGAAATTGTACTGGCTAGTGAAGAAACTGCATAATATTTATGCTGCAAGTAAAGTGTTGTTTCCTGACATTCTCTCTTTCCAAAAATTTTCCTTGGACAGCTCTGATGTAAACTTTATCAAGAATATCTACTATCAGGTGGGAAATGGTGTATTAGATGATACTGGAGATTTCAGGAAGAACTATGCTAAGCCAGCACAAATGAACTTTTGGTACTTGAGTCATGAACACATTGAGACTCATCTTGAAAAATTGCTTGATGAATGTAGGAGGGTTTTTCAAACCCAAACTTAAGACTTTCTCTGTGCTATTAAATATGCAAGCTGCTTCTTTGGAAACTTTCTGTGCATTCATCCATTTCAAAATGGTAATGGCTGAACAGCTCGACTGTTGTTGAGCTATTTGTTAAAGCCATTTACAATTGTCCCACTCTTTATATATCTCCGGAAATATATATGACATATTCTATTCATTCTATCTCTAACTGCATTACTATTTAACAAAAATTCACTATACCTTTAAAATGCAGTCTAGTTTACATCTGTCGAACGAATGCGCAATCGAGAAGAACGTGCAGTTTGGAATCTCCGTTATGCAAATTTGAAATATATTTCGATTGATAATTCGACCCTGATGAAGGTTTGTGAATCAGACCGAAAACATTCGACAGATGTAAACTAGACTGCATTTTAAAGGTATAGTGAATTTTTGTTATATATGACATATACCTGCAGTGCCATCAAAAGATACTAGTGTATGATGAGGGAATGACTAATGCTTCTGCCTTGTCTAGATTTATTCTGGATGCTGTGCTAAGCAAATTCAAAGAATGTTGTTTTGTTATAGATATATGTTAACGATAAAAAGATTCTGTTTCATTTAAGAAAAGATTTAAATTACAATATTTAAATATAATTAAGGCATCCTTAAATACTCAATAAAATTACAAGCTCATGAAATAATATATTTATCAAATTTTGAATTTTTTGTTAACTTTTATAAAGTTTAATTAGGATCAAAATATTTTACTTAGTAAATTTTTTGTTCTTATAATATACATTCCACTTTTATTGCCAAGTTATCTGACTTAGGAATAATTATAAATTACAAAAATAAAATATTTAAAATTATTTCAAAATTTCAGATGCACATTTTTAACAAATATCTGCAATAAAACAATCAATAATATAATAAAAATAAACATTTGAAAAAGTTTCGAAAAAATTTGGCTACTACTCTAACTGATCTACAATAATACTTTTTGTACTTAATTATTTAAAAATTCAAAAACAGATCATTTACACAAAAAATCTATAAAATATAATTATGCAACAACCATATTTTGATATGTTTACTTTTATAATCCCAAGAACAGGACATAGCAACTATCTATGCAATTAGTTAAAAGTTAATATGAATAATAATAATAATAATAATTAATCATTTATTATTAAATATTTTTAGATGTGAATAATGAGTATTATAACAAATCATTCTTGCAATTTAGACAAAAAAAAATTCTGAGATGGTAGCTATGTCACTGTTTGGTAAAAAATTTTAGAAGTTAAACATCCAAAATTAGAAAATATTTGTACAGTTGGAAATATTAATTTTCTAAATCTAATAGTTTATAAAATTATTATATTGTACAGTTGTTCAACCGAGAGATTCTTTAACATTCATAAAATCTCACAGTTATGCATTTTTAAAATGAGCAAATATATATATATATTTATGTATGTACATTATATATATAATTTGAAATTATTTTCTTTAGTTATTAGGTGGTTTCCACTTTTTGTAACGATAATAACCTAATACTATTGCTACAATAATCATTATTGTTATAACAATTAAAGCTAATATAATAAATAATAAATAATCCTCAATAGCTTCATTGCCTTCTTTTACTGATTCGTTGATTCTGAAAAAGAAAGGTTGACTCTTACTTATTACCAATATCTTAAAAGCATTTTAAGATAATAAAATTTAGCTACTTATTACAATATAAAATAAATTAATTGAATTTTAAAAGTCTAAGCCAATTATATGCATTTCTAAGCTAATTGTATTTTGAAAGTTTACTTGAATTTAAAATCTTAAATTTTTTTATATTAATAATTTATGCAATTTTAAAATGATAAAATTATTAAATTAACAAAAATAAAAAATACTGTATACATTTAATATGTATTACATTAATGTAATTGTCAACAAATATAAAACAAATACAAATCACTTAGAAAAATATTTAAGTAACTTAATTTTAGAAGAGTATAATCTAAAATATTATCTGTCATAAAAATTAAAATGTATTAATTAGAATGTTAACACAAAGTTATTTTAAATAAAATTTAAATAAAAGCGAGAGGGAAAAAAAATTGTCAGTTTTAACATTCCATAATTAAAATATTTTAAAATATAAACATTTATCTATATTTTTTATTGCTTTTTGCCCTTAATTTCATTAAATGTTTCTACTAATCTAAACAGTTATTTATTTTAGGACTTATCAAAGTTATTTTTATCTGTATAATATTAAATAACTTTATTAATTAAAGCAAATAATATATTGATAAATTATTAATGAGTATTGAGCAGAAACAATATATAAAATATTTAAAATAAAATAAAATGTTTTCATAATGTTGATTTTAAGTTATGAAATGTTGTCAAAGTATTTTAATTAAAAAATATTTTATGTATTTTATCAGTATATCACACATAATACAATGTCAGATAAAACAGATAAATCATTATCAAATGTTTAGAGCCAAGAAATAGGTTAAATAAAAACAATTTTCTGTCATTTGAATACAAAATTCAGCAAATAATTTGATATGCATTTTTGCACAATTTTAGAGACAAAGTTTTTGGAAAATATTAAGCTCTATAAATTTAGAATTTAATAACAAAAAATAACAGTTAATTGTTAGAATTAAATTTTCCTACTTTTTAGATAGTTAATAAATTTATAAAAAATGAAATGACAGGGTTAAATGAAAAAAAAAATTGAGGCTAGTATAAACATCATTAATTTTTCAAAAAGATACTAAAGTTACATTTAGATTAACAATATAACATATTAATAGCATTTGTACAGTAATAATGTTTCATATTCATATAGTGTTTACTAGAAAAATTATGAAAACAATTAACAAAGAATTATAATGAGTTACATGTTTAAATAAACATGGTAGGCTATTGTAATCAGATTATCTAAAAGTGATTATGAACAATACACAAATATCAAATCAAAGTTATGAAATATGACAACTCCACAAGCAATAAGGTCCTACTGTTATATAGATATAATACTGTAAAGTTTGTAAATATTTTGAATGTCTGTTTTTAGTTGCCATTCATAAAATATATTTAAATGAATTGAATGTGTACCATAGCTTTTGATAAAAACTTGTAATTATTAATACATATTCTTTGAGTATAAACTGAGTTCAGTTGTACTATAAAACTAGATGATAGCTTTTAACTCAAAAATTCTAATTATAATCAATATTAGTACATCAGATATCAAAAGCAGTGAAAATATTTCCATTGCTTCAACTTTATTGTCATTTTCACAGATGAATGATGAGTTGAAATTATAGCAATATTCTTAAAATGACTATTAATAAATGTAGTAGTCACTTTAAAGAATTCTATAAGAAAATATTTTCAGTTTAGAAAATTCCAAACAAAGAATTATCAATGTATTAGTACAATTAAGATATGTCTATTAGATAGTTGTGGCATTCTAGTATGTTTTTATACTGAAAAGGTAAAGTTCGGTAAAGTAAAATTATGAAAGAATTGGATATGCATGTAAGAAGTTGTTTTGTTAAGTTATGTTTTACAAAATAATCATATTATGTCTTTACAAGAGAAAGAGAGAAATTTAATGTAGAACTGTATCTTTATTGCTACATCTGCATCCACTTTTATTGTAAATGAGAGATTCATCTTGATCTCATGAGTCAATCATATTTACTCCAATTAAAAACATCAAATTTTAGTGATAATAAGTTATTTTTGGAATTTTTCCCCCAAATTAAAATTTACATACAAATAGTTAAGTATAGGTTTAAATATATAATGTAAGTTTGTAATTATTGGTCCTATCTTCTTAATACAGTTGTCCCTTGATAGTCTGACGCTTTGTAATCCGACATGCTCAGTAGTCCGACACACCTCCCATCAAGGTACCCATCCCCGTTATGTGTCTGCTTGCACAGAAGCATGTCGCGACGTGAATCTCCCCACCCAATTCTTACACGATGACACACATTTCGTGTGTTTTCTGTGAGCAGTTCTGTTCAAACAGTTGGAGTAGGGAATATTGTATGCTACTGCTAGCAAAACAATGCCAAATATGTAATCACTTTCGGTAATCTGGACACCCCTTTAGTCCCATACCTGTCAGATTATCAAGGGACAACTGTATTTTTTTCTAATAGTATATAGAAATAAAAACCAATTTGGCAAGCAAGTGAAAAACAGCATTGTCCAATTTTCATTTGTAGATTAGAACAAAGTCATACTTTAAAAAGGTTAAAAAGTACTCTGAATGTGAATGAGATTTTATTTTATTAAAATGCAGTTTTGAAAATAATTCAATTCAAATAAACAAGTTAAATTTTGTTTTCTCTTAAATTTACATAAAACAAAAATACAGAGAAAGAATGATAAAATATGAATTTTTAGAATGAAATCAATATTTAATAATTATAGATGAAAATAACTTACCTCATGCCAAGAGCTGAAACTTCTAGTTTGGATTTAAATATAAAAGAAAATTTCCCATTCATAACAAATTCTTTAAGTGACTTTATTAGTGTATCATTAGTTGATATTACATTTACTTTCATTATATAATAATCTTCTATTCTTACAATTTTTGAATATTGAGGAATAATATCAACTTTACTTCCTAATTGTAAATGTTTTAAAGAAGCTATATGCAATTCTTCTATTGTTCCCATTTTTAATACTTCATCCATTATTGTTAAACTAAAATATATTTCTATTTCTATTTCATCCAACTTTCCTAGAAATTATAAAAATGATTTTTTTTTTTAAATTATTATTAACATTTATTTAAAGTTAATCATGTCATTTACAAACCTGATACTTCATTTTCAATAAAATTCTTTCTAAATTTTGTTGAACAAATAATACTCCAATTTGGACATATCAAATTATATTTTTCTCCATAATACTGCAAAAAAATTAATTAATTCAGCATTACTATGTAACCTAATTTATAAAAATAAATATTGTAAATAAAATATTAAATAACCTCAATAGTAAGTTTAGTTTTTTGTGGACAGTCCATCCAAAAGTCATCTATAAACATCTTCAAACTACCATTTTCTAAACATTTATACATTCCACAGAAGCTGTTTGACTAAAATTTAAAAAAAAAAAGGTATAATTTCATTTATAATAAAATTATTATTAAATATTATATTTAAAATTTAACATTTATTTACTCCTTACTTTATTCTCATTTATTAATAAAATGCATGCTGATATTGTTTCATTTGTATATAGAGCTGTTTTACAATAACTCTATTAAATAAATAAATAATATTAAAATATAATAATTAAACGTTTCTGTAGAAAATTTATTGAAAATCAATATATTATATAAAAAAAATATTACTTAACAACTAACAGTAGAATTAGGCTTGTAAATGCCACATTTCTTCCATTGACTAATTTTATGGCAATAACTTTCTGTTAAATGTAAATAATCACATCCCTTCATCCTTCTATAATCACTAAAAATATTAGTATAAAATTTTAATCATTAAAAATCTTAGCATAAGAAAATAGTTCTAAAATTAAATTTGACTACAGAAAGTATTTTGTTTAGGACATTTAAAAATTTAAGTTCATTACAGATTATTTTAATAATTATTGATTCAAAGTTGCCATATATCATAAGATAAGAATTTACAATTATTTTATAGAAATTCATTCTGAAAAGAAAGGAATAACATAAAATTATAATACTTATTGTAAGGAAATTAAGATTTTATTAAATCACACAAAAATATATTTTATTTAAATTATTAATGAAATAAATATAGTTGCAAAAGTGTTAAATAATGAATGTAAAGTTTAGTTATTTCATCTGCTACACAAATTATTTTTAAAACTTCTATATTCAAAAATATTAATTTAAACATTAATAAAACTAGTAAAAAGCCAGGACAGCGAACTTTTTACATGTTTTACATATTGAGGCAGATAAGTGTCAACAATAAAAAGTTGAATTTGCCGTAAGACCATTTGTTCCTGACGTATGAAAAGGACATAAAATAAAGATGAAGAAGCCATGTATCACCTTCTGTTAAACTTCTTGTAAAAAAATTTTTTAAATATTCTTTTAAATTTAATTATTATTTTAATTGGAACTGCTTTTTACTTTAAAAGAAATTTTGAAACATGTATGTACTGTACAAGAAATTTGCATTTGTTTGAAATTCAAGAGATGAAATAATTGTGACCTTGAATTTCAAAGTTTCCAAAATTAACATATTTCAATATGCAAATTCCATGTAATTGATGTAATTTGTTAAGGAAATAAACTGCAGATAAACATCATGTGTCTGATGAGAACCACACAGGTTGCCAGGCAGGTTTCATAAAAAGTAAAGTAGAATTCCCTGAAACGTAGCCCAAATTATTTTTAAAGTAGCCCAAAAAGTAGTAAGTTACCCAAATCTAGTAACCTATAGCCCTACAATTATCTCAATCTGCTACTTGCCAATCTTGCCCAGCCATATTTTATGAGATAAGAGAAAAAGAATAGTTGATGGGTAAGGTAACACCAAAATGTGTTATTGTAAAAGCAAAGCCATGTTGACCAGATTAGGGTTATTCTTGATCTGATGTTCTCTTATATTGATAGTATGGAAGTACTTCAATCTAAATGAATGAGTCAACATATGCATATCACAGTTCAGACAGAATTTTCACTTCAAATTTTAAAGTAGCCATATTTCGAACTAATTGAATTTCTTAACATGTGAACTTCTATATCCCCAGCTGGTTACAAAGTAGTTACAAATTAACAAGTTTTCAAACTATCTGAATTCGAATTAACAAGGATTTTCTGTAACAGTGAAAAAAAATTCAAGAGAAATGCTTTTATGAAAACTTATGTCTATATAATTAAATCAAAAATTTACTGCTTATAACTTAAATTAGATTAAACTAATCTGACAATTAAAAAAGAAATTACAAGATGTTTATATATAAATTCAAATATTTAATATAATAATTTATTTATATCTGTTTTTAGTAAATATTAATTTAGAATATATGCAATTCTTCTATTGTTCCCATTTTTAATACTTCATCCATTATTGTTAAACTAAAATATATTTCTATTTCTATTTCATCCAACTTTCCTAGAAATTATAAAAATGATTTTTTTTTTAAAATTATTATTAACATTTATTTAAAGTTAATCATGTCATTTACAAACCTGATACTTCATTTTCAATAAAATTCTTTCTAAATTTTGTTGAACAAATAATACTCCAATTTGGACATATCAAATTATATTTTTCTCCATAATACTGCAAAAAAATTAATTAATTCAGCATTACTATGTAACCTAATTTATAAAAATAAATATTGTAAATAAAATATTAAATAACCTCAATAGTAAGTTTAGTTTTTTGTGGACAGTCCATCCAAAAGTCATCTATAAACATCTTCAAACTACCATTTTCTAAACATTTATACATTCCACAGAAGCTGTTTGACTAAAATTTAAAAAAAAAAAGGTATAATTTCATTTATAATAAAATTATTATTAAATATTATATTTAAAATTTAACATTTATTTACTCCTTACTTTATTCTCATTTATTAATAAAATGCATGCTGATATTGTTTCATTTGTATATAGAGCTGTTTTACAATAACTCTATTAAATAAATAAATAATATTAAAATATAATAATTAAACGTNCTGATTAAGGTTAGTATGTTGAAGTAATATTGAACTCTCAAATATAATAATGTATTTGATATTTCAATTAAGACAAACTAAATCAAAAATATAATCAATTAAAATAAAACTAAATTTATATATTTAAATTAAATTTAGAATACTTACGTCATACTACAGAAGTAATTATCATCAAGAGCACTGCAAGTTTCTTTAACTGCAAAATTACAACCTTCACCTAAAATTTAGTTAAGTTTTATTATTTTATATCTAAATATAAATTCATATAAAAAAGTGCATTTCTTTATAATACCTTTTCCCCAAAAATAACCATCTGTATTGGAAAAATTAACTTGATACCATCCACTGTCAGCAAATACAGCAGCACTGATAGGATCTACAGAAATATAATCTGCCTGAAAGTTAAAACAGATTTAATGAAGTATACTAACAATAAAATCAAGAATAAATAAAATTCTGTAAATTAACCATAAATTTCCTTAACTTATTTATAGAATTTTAAATATCTGTTAATATATAGATTAACCATTCATTATTGACAAATATTTAAAGAGCCTTACTAAATTACTTTTAATATTTATAAGTTTATATTTATTTGATTACTTTTTTATAATAAAATATAAAATGAAAAATAACCATTGAAATATTCATTAGAAACAAGGTTGTCATAAAAACTTAGTTTTTCCATCTTGCGATGCACCTGGCCTAAATTTCAATCTTTTTGAGTCTTTCTGAACTGATCACTTAATACAAAGTCAAACCCAGATACAGCTTTGTTATATATAGGCTTCAGTTGTTATGAAATATCAATTCATATGAACTTTTCTCTATCCCTTTGATCTTCAATATTAAATATACACTAAAATGTTCAGATATTACAAAGCAGTATATCAGATATAACAAAGATGATGCACAGCTGTACCAAAAAATAGAATATAGAACAAGGAAAAGCCAACCTTAGCATTTAAACTTAAATATCACACAATCTTCCAAGAAAGGAATTTAAGCTTTCCAACTAAAAATTCATTTTTGCTCCACAAGCAATTCAATCAGACTTCTTCCTGCTTTAAATGTTTAGGCATGCAACTATATTATTTTATTTTTTCAATGTGCAAGGTGCATTGATGTGAAAAAATACTATAAGGCATTGAACTTCTAAACACATGAACTTATAAATAATGAATTTATATTTAAAACAATCCCTAATGTAACTTGATCTGATATGATTGTTGGGAGAAGGTAGTGCAATGCGTGGATAATCTACCAAAGGAAAGAGAGAGTCTCCCAGGAAGGCTTTCTATGGGGAAACTGGGCTCTATTTAAATATGACATGTGAAGAAAACCTGAAAAATTCCATTCAGTCAGGCCACTGGTAAAGCTCAAACTCATGACCAAGTACCAATGTTCTGGAGTTTTATCCACTCAGCTACTGGGAAGCACCCACTAATGTAGTGAACCTGTAGTGAATATTAATCCACATACACACATTATATATAATGTGTGTGTATATAGATTAATACTTTATATTTTTTCAAGGTATTATAATTCAACTGACACTTAAAAAAACTAATCAACTTTACATAATCTCACATACACATGCTAACAATTTAAAATATTGCTGTTTGATTATTATAAATGCTACTTACAAATGTAAGATCAGGAGACATAATGCTACCATGAAGCATCACAGAATTCCAATGAGAATCAACTTCACCATTTTTCTAAAAATTGATGAGATTGCCAGGCAGGTTTCATAAAAAGTAAAGTAGAATTCCCTGAAACGTAGCCCAAATTATTTTTAAAGTAGCCCAAAAAGTAGTAAGTTACCCAAATCTAGTAACCTATAGCCCTACAATTATCTCAATCTGCTACTTGCCAATCTTGCCCAGCCATATTTTATGAGATAAGAGAAAAAGAATAGTTGATGGGTAAGGTAACACCAAAATGTGTTATTGTAAAAGCAAAGCCATGTTGACCAGATTAGGGTTATTCTTGATCTGATGTTCTCTTATATTGATAGTATGGAAGTACTTCAATCTAAATGAATGAGTCAACATATGCATATCACAGTTCAGACAGAATTTTCACTTCAAATTTTAAAGTAGCCATATTTCGAACTAATTGAATTTCTTAACATGTGAACTTCTATATCCCCAGCTGGTTACAAAGTAGTTACAAATTAACAAGTTTTCAAACTATCTGAATTCGAATTAACAAGGATTTTCTGTAACAGTGAAAAAAAATTCAAGAGAAATGCTTTTATGAAAACTTATGTCTATATAATTAAATCAAAAATTTACTGCTTATAACTTAAATTAGATTAAACTAATCTGACAATTAAAAAAGAAATTACAAGATGTTTATATATAAATTCAAATATTTAATATAATAANAGAGCATAATATAATATAAGATTTTGAAAGAAATGAGAAAATATTAGAAAAAAAATTCTAGATCCAAGCCAACACTTTCAAGAAGTAAATCCGCTAAATATTTTCTCAGGAGGCTAATAACAGTGTAGCAATCATTAAGGATTACTGCAGCACTTACCATAAAGACAGGAAATAACGTGTAAAGATATTAATTTAAAAAAATATTAGAACAACTTACGGCACAAAAATGAAAAACATTTGATGAAAAATATCTTCTCTTATCAGAAAAACATCAGATCTGTTGTCTGATAACGTGCGCTACTTAATTTTTTAACAAGATGATTAATCATTCGACAACTTTGCAAAATAATCATTTCAAACGAATATTCATGTCGTCCATTCAACACGTGCATATCTTAAATCGGTCAGTTTCATCCTTACGTATAAATATACTATTCTTATCCAAGGTATTATTGGTTATTTCGACAGTGACGTTTAACTGATACCCAATCATAAATTTGATAGCAAACTCATGTTCATTAATCCGTAATGAAAATTTAATTTAAATATTAGTCGCTAGATGGCGAAGATAGAAGAACGAGCCGATGTTTATATATATATATACATTTTTTTTTTAAGATTTTTTATTTTCGGATTTTTTAAGATAAGAATAACAAATTTTGATAAATTAATCGATATTCAATATTAATTTAAGACGCGCTTGTCAACTTCATACACAGTTATATATTTTTTTGTTAAATTCTTTTATACTTCAATGCACATGCTTTAATTAATTAAAATAACACTGATCTAATTAATTACTTACACTAACATTTTAATTATATGAATATTTTAAATTTTTTATAATTTCCAGTGTAAGCAATTAATCAATTTAGCTCTTTTAAACAATCAATTAGTAAAGTACTTAGCATAACTACTGTTATTAGCATCTGCACTTAAATAATGAATTTGTCAGAGATTTGATGATAATCATTATGCTACCAGAAAAAAAAAAAATTGACCAAATTTTGAAATTTAACTTAACACAAATTTATTAAAAGAGCATCATAAAATTTTAATTTTGAAATATGTTTACTAAAAATTAATTTAATAAATCATTTTTATAGGAAATATATAGTGATTTGATCAATCAAAAACATTCGTAAATGTATTATTATATATTTGTAATAAAAAAAATAAAAAGAATTTTAAAAAGGGATAAAATTAAAAAATATAAAAGAATGCTAGTCATATGCAAATATTTTTACTTTAAAACTTGTAAACATAAGTTAGATCTGTCTTGGCATTAAATATATAAATTAATCAAACAACTTGGAATAGAGCCACTCTTTCAAGAAGTGAACAGGAATCCCAAGTATTAATCAGAATTCTTTTCATTTCCAAAAATATTTTCATGTCCTACTCATAATTCACTCACTATAAACAAAAATCAATTACATTATCTATTCAAGAACTATACATTTATGTATTTCTTGATATAATTTTTTATACTTTTTANTACATAATAATGCTAATCTGAGAATATCAATTTAATATTATGAATGAAAATAAAGATCCTAGTTTTGTTGCTTCTTTCAATTCACAAAGTCATAAAAATTATCATTAATTTAAAATCTTCTACAAAAGTGATAATCAATATGTTCTTTCAAAAAGTGTAAATATAAAATATATTGAGAGAACTAATCTTAAATAATATATAAAAATATTTTGAGTTTATATGTAATAACATAAAGGAAAAAGTAAACTATGATATTAGAAACAGTTTTTAGTAGAATTACTCAAATCTGAAAACAAAACAACATTATTAAATGAAGTAAATGGTATGTAAAACAAATGGTCTGATATCCAATGTGTAGTGGCAAAAACAAAAAGAATTAATTTAATTTTTTCTACATTTCATTAACTAATATATAAATACAGTAGACCCCCCTATAAAACAAGTTCATATAATAAGAATTCATATATCACGACAAAAAAATTGCAATCGCATTCGTATAAACACACTAAAAGAAATTCATATAATACAGTAAAATGTCATCGCCGACTTGTGTCGCGACAGGATTGGTCAAATCTAGACCAATAGCAGATATTGCACAAACCATTGAGTTTAAACGAGCAGTGGCCCTACTAAAAACCATTTATTATTTAACAGCCATGAAAATTATATTTATATTAATGACGTCTCCAAAGTTCAGCGAATTTTTCACGGAAAAATAATTTATCAGGAAACATGTGCCCACCACTCGATGCCCCGCTCCACGACGAAAACAATCTTAAGCAATGGTGTTGTCGAATGGTGCACACTTGGTAAGTAATCTTACAATTTTTTGTTTATAACATAGTTTATATGGATTATTCCCAAAAAATTATATACGTGTTTTAGAAATGTTGAGTCAAATTAGTCTAGACTCGATTAATTTTATGGAAGAAAACCTTTCAAACAGCCGTAGTCCCTAAACTGCATACGTGCCGGGCTGTGATTGGCTCATGTATTAAAGTGATCGTAAAACATGAATTCATATATAATAGAACATATCTACCGTATTATAGGGGGGGGTCTACTGTATATATAATTATACATTAATACATAAAAACAAAACTAAACTTTTCATATTATTCATATAATCTATCATTTTCATATATTGAAATGTATTTAATATATGAAAATGATTTATATTGATGATTGATTATTCATAAAACCAATGGTTTTATTATTTATTGGTGAGATTAATTAATATAAAATGATATAATCTATTGAAATTTGATATAAATAAATAATATTTGAAACTTAAAAAAAAAAAATCCAATTCTACAAAATAATTTCGTGGAAAAAAATATTAAATTATCAACGAAACTTTCAGAATTATCATCAAGAAATAATATATTGCAAAAAAAAAAAAAATTAAAAATNTTGATAATATTCGTTTAAATCGTTTCAATATTAAAAATTATATCATAACTATATTAATATTTTATAAAGATGATTAAATATTAAATTGCAAAATATTTATTTATAAATAATTTAATTACTTTTAAAAAATTATTAAGAATATTAATTATGTATTATAATTGAATTATATACTTTCAACAAACAAATATTGAAATAACGCAATTGAAAACCGAATTTCATATAGCGGCACGAAACAGAAAGAAGAACATTATGCATGAAGCTGTATAAAATGCAATGAAACGGATAAATCGTGAACTGGTGTAATAAACAAGCTCGTATCGACTAACATTCTCTGTTTACTGTTGCCGCGTTAATCTATATATGGTCGTCTCCTTCGGCACCGTGGAGCCTAGATCAAATATCTTCGACTAAGCCAGAGCTTGCAACAATCGCTATATGTTATATAAAAACAGATTAAAAAACGTTTAGAATGACACGGCAAAGATAATTAGCATTCATTGTGGTACAAAATAGCACTTTTCTTCTTTCTTTGCTTCATTGTTAATTGGAGGATCAAAAGCTTACGCATGATTAACTTCGTACATGATCTTACGCAAGATTAAAATTATACATTTTTGAATTGTAAATAAGAAGATGATTATAGAATATGATGAACTCTATTTTTTACGTGTACGCTAGTTTCTTTCGTGGATTATTTTTTTCTTTTTTATGTTGCTTTGGAGGAATTTACTGTACGTTATCTCGTATATTGTATTGGATACTCATATCCTGTTTCAGACTTGTAAAACCAACATTACTCAAATATATTGCATTGAGAAACATATTAGAAAAATGATAAAGTCGAAGAGTAGAATTAAGATAATTTTTCCACATTTGGATTTATAATGGCATTTTAACACATTTCGCGTTTGATGGCGGCGTTATTGATTTCGATCGAAACTAGATTAAAAAGTATGAATCAGTTGAGCACTTTTTTTAATGTTGAATGATATCGAAAAATGTTAATTAGTTCTGTTTTATCTATTTTAACTTTTTAAATGAATATTTCATACGATATATAAATGAAGAAAAGAAGATTTCATATTAAATATGTAGACTATTGTTTTATTATCCATTTCATTAATATCATGCTATATCTCTACATAGTTTAGTTTTCGATATCGATTTATTAATTCAAAATATCAGTATACAATATATATATTTGATATAGGCTATCGAACAAAGCCCAATTATCATTAGCATCATTTATCATCAGATACGAGATGAAACTACTAGTTTATTATCGAAAGAAACATCTCATGTGTTAAATATAAGATGAATATTTTATTATATTAATATTATTTTTAGTATTTTGTTAAAAGATAGATTACTGATACATTGATTATAGACTATTCAAAACCATTTCATAGTTTAATACTTGCAAATAATACGGTAAATTATATTCGTACCGTTGTTGCACGAACAATATTTAATCAAGGAACTTAGAAATTTATAATTTAATATCAATATGTAATCATAAATTATTTATTTGTTTATTTGGTCGATCCGTGAATCATTTCAATAACTTAATACATCAATAGGCCCGTGACAATATGTGAATATGAATGCGTAAAATAGATATGTTGTATCTATTTTTCTTTATCATGGAAATTGAATTTAGTATTATTCATACGAAACATTAATCGTTCATTTTTCTCGATCAATAATTGAAAGTTTGTTCTTCGTTAAAAACTTACAATATCCGTTGCCTTATCTACATTTGATAGATTCATTTTTCTTTCGTAGAATTAGCATCCCCCCTCCTGAATACTGTAGGATGTTTATCCATTACAAATTTAAAATCGATCACTAAAGCCAACAATAATAACTAAAGACAAAACATTGGCAGGAAACCATGGCTGAATTCGTATCATATTTTTTTCACATTCTTCATGTAAATTTTATTTTTTCAGACATCAATATTATCAAATTTATCATAAAACATTATATAAATCAGTGATTAGAAAAGATTTTTACGCTGTAAACGAATTTCAATTTTAAACTCGTTATTATTATTATTTTTTTTTTATTTTTCTGTCTGGACACGCTACTAATTAGATTTTCAGTATATAAAGAATATTTTTCAATTTTTTATTTATGAATTTAAACTTTAAAAATTGTCTAGTTTTAATTAAAAATTGGCTTATCTCATACTTTATACAGTACTAAAAATAAATTAGCTAAAGTTTTAAATTAGTAGTTACTTAAGAAATTACCTTAAAACATGCAAACGTACCTCAAGCACCGTTCAATATCTTTAAAAATTGGTGTGTGTTCTACATTCAGAAGCTTAGTTAAGACATTTTTTTTTTTTTTTCTTCTTTCCTCTTTAATTTAATTCATTCAGTAGAGTTGAAAAACCGGTAAACCTGTATATATTTAACCCAAGGCATTTAAATAATAAATTGTATACCTCGTGGCAAATTTATACATTTGAATATGTAATTTTGTTAAACCATATGTCAATCCTGACAGATAGTTCATCTGGCCCGATTCTACGTTGTATTTTATATAAGACAAAATGATCTTTCTACTTTACATGAATTCAAAGTTTTCCTTTGAACCAATTTTAATAGTCGGAGCGCGCAGAGATTCTTCACGGAACTTCTTAAGAAGAACCTACTGTATTAGCGCTAGAGATAATATAACGCATTTTCTGTATAAATGTCGTAATAATCTTAAGCTTCCTTATGAATGAATAAAGGTAATTTATATATTTGATACGGTATGGAGGACAATTCAATTAAGGAAGCCTTAAAAAAAAAAAAAATTTCACAATCNATCATTTGAAAATTATACTATATTTTTATTTATTTATTTATTTATTTCACAATGATTCAACATCTAAGAATTTACTAATTCTAGAAGAAAAACAAAAATACCTTTGTTCCTAAAGGAGCACCAAAATTAATATCATCACAACCAAAATGTTCTTGCATTTTTTTTATAACAGTTGGTAATGAAAGTCTGTTAACATTATGTTTATCAGTTATGACAGGCCTTTTCCATTCTGAACAAGGGATTCCTAAAAGAGAATATAGTGCATGAAATTATAAATTTATTTAACTTTCATGTGTATCTGTAAATAACAAATCAAATCTCACTTCCAATAATAATATAACATAAGCAACTAATCTTTGAACATACATATATTATATACAAGGCAATTTTTAATTCATGCAAAATTTTAAACTTTAATAACTTTTTACCTGAATGAGATAGAAATAAAATTCAAAAAGTAATATATAGTATAATGATTGATTAATGTTAACAGTCATTTTCAAAATTGTGGCATTCACTTTAGAACAACATGTGTTTATCATAAAAAAATTATCAAAATTCTAATTCTCCAATTGGTGATTTATCAATATATTAATCAGTGTGCTATCAGTGCTAGCAGAATTATTAGACTATTCTTCTTCAAAAAGAATATTACTTCTGCTGCATATGTTGAATGATTGAAAAATGTTTTATCCCAAAATGCTTGTTGGGCATAAATATTATCTTGTTTGGTTTATGCAAAATGGTACAAGGTCCCATCACACAAAGCAAGTGTTTAAAACCCTTTACAGCATGTTTGAGAAGCATGTAATCCGATTAGATTATGAAAAATATGTTGATGGTGGCGTGGAGTGGTCACCTTGTAGCCCCGAGTTAAACCCATGTGATTTCTTTTTATGGGGCTATCTTAAAGATAGAATGCTCATACAACTATTTGAAGTGTCAATAGACACAATAAAAAAAACAGAAATAGTAAAGATTCCAAGAAAGACCTTTATTACAGTTATTGAATGTTTCAAAAATCAGTTAAAAACTATTATTGTGAGTGAAGGTAGTCATTTTGAAAACTTAATTCATTAAATGGCAATAAATTCTGTATAATATGTATTTTGAATTTTCTTTTTATCTCATATAGTTAAAAAGTTATTAAAGTTTAAAGTTTGGTGTGAATTAAAAAAAATCACCCTATATGTAGATATATATGATTTTATATATAATGATTAATATTCTATTCAAAAATCATTAAGTAAATGAATGATATAAAATATATTTTATTTTATACCATAGAAAAAATTTTTTTTAAATTTATAAACCTATGTTCAAAGATTAAATGCTTATGATATTAATAATATTAGAAATGAGACTTAAGTTACTTACATACACACATACAAGTTAAATTTATAATTAAATCTTAAATAATTAACATATTATAGTATATATATTATATGATACAATATATAATGATTATGATTAATATATACATAAAATGATTAAAATTTATATACAGTCAACTTGTGTTAATATGAATTGCTAGAAGAACAGTAGTTGGTTCACTTTATCAAAAATTCATATTAACAATGTTCAGGGTCAAGGTCGCATAATTTAGGGAGTTAAAGTTTATTTAGAAATTTTGATTGAATATTAAAGTTAAATAAAATTTTTTTGAAAAAACAAAATGTTCTAAATGATTTTCAAATCAAACAAAATGAAAAGGAGACTATTTTCCATTGAAATGTGGAGCAGTATATCAAAGCAGTCAAACAAAACAAAGCTAAAATAAATCAATAATTTTCTTTTTTTCTGTTGAAGATTGTTTGAAAAAGTATAAAATATTTTTTAACACCAAAAGAGTAAAAAAAGGAGCCAAATTTGGCACAAGGTAGCTGAACCTGGCATTATTATAGGTACTTCTTGATACACAAACTAGCATGTTTGCATGAGGCCACATCCAATTAAAAGGATAGGAAATAAGTGGGTGAAGAAAATCATGCTCCCCCACACATACACACTAAGATCCATAAATTCAGGAAAACACCCCAAATTTTTTTGCATTTCTTGAAGTTTCAAGATCAAGAGTCCAAAAATGTAAAAATCTTGAGGGATCATTTTTGACCAATTGCTATACTTTCTGTTATATATAACAGCCAGAAAAGTAAAACTTAAAGCATTTATATATTAAGTTTTACTTTAAAAAATATTTTTCCACTTTTAAATACAATAAACGGCATCAAATATTTGTTTAATAAAATATGAAATGAAAGCATAACTTTATTTATAGATTCATTCAATGAAAAACAGATTTAGCTATATTCTCATTCATGTAAATAACATTTAAATTATTCATATGTATTCTTCTACAGTTTGAATTTGCTTGTTTAAATCTCTCCTTTCAGAAAAACTACATTATGCAGCAGTGATATCATATGGTATTCAAATCTTTTACTTTTTATTTACAAATTTATCACTAAACCTCATGAAATTTTGGAGGATGATAATAACCTTTCATATTACTTATTATTTTTTCTTGAACATTGTCTTAATTTCCTCAAAAAATAATAAGTAATATGAAAAGTTATTATATTTTTCTAATTATAATATTTGGCATTTCAGTAATTAATATTCAAATAACAAAATTCAAAAAACATTTTTGAAAAAAGTTTACCAATTGATGAACAGTCTTTAAATTTTTTAAACATATCTTGAGAAAATCCAAGAGCATGAAATAATTCATGAATGGCTACCTATAAAAATAAATTAATTCATACATTTTAAATTATGTTTGATATAAATTTAAATACACAAAAATTACACTTGCCATCACTATTCTTTCTTCTTCATGTTTCTCTTTCAAATGAAAAGGACAAAAATTAATGAAACCAGCTATAGGTCTGTCATTCTGGTCTAACACACAATAAGAAGCATATGCAATAATATCCTAAATATAAAATATATTGAAATAATTTTATAATATAGCTTTTATAATAAAAAATAATCCAAAATTCTATATTTTATTTTAATGTTTTAGAATACCTGAGTTTGGCATAAATGTGTATTTTGAGCATTAACATAAAGTATATAATCAGCATTTTGGACACCATTTCCAGCAGGTAACGATAATGGAAGAGGATGTGGACTTGTGAAATTATATACATTGAGTCCATCTAAATGATCATCAGGTATCTGTTAATTTATGTAATTATTAGGCATTACTTTTTGAACATTGATATCATGTTTTACATTTATTTATATTTGCATAAATTCATTGTAATTTAATAGAACTATTATAAATCATATTAAACTATTGTGTTAATCTAATAAGTAAATTGATAAAGCTTTTTTTAAACTTTAGAAAAAATAAATTAAAAAAGTACATTTTGTGAAATATTTTCAGAAACTTTATATATTTATATATACAGTTTAACCTGTTTATCTCTAATCTCACAGAAATGAGAAAAAACTCAAAATAGACAAGTTTCAAAATATAGAGGTTCCTACACAGTAAACAGTAATAGGTTTAATTGGAAGTATGGTATTTTATTAATATAATAGCAAGTACTGTATATACCTGTATTTAGGTATAAATAAAACATTTTTGACATAACAGAAATAGTTTGTCAATAGTTTGATGCCTGACTTTCTTTGACTGGATAAACTCAGCCAATCAGAGAAAAGCAGGATTAACTGCAGCTATGTGCTGTATTGCAAGAAATGTTTCTCATTTACAATTTATGCTATCAAAATGTAGTCACTGAGCTTTGAATTTTTAATTGATACTTCAATCTATAATTTGAGATAGAGGTTTTGGGAGAAATTTATTTGATAGAAAATGAAAATATACTGAATTTAGACTGAAAATGAATGGGAAAAAATAAATTTTGAGATAAGGAGATTTTTGAGATAAACATGTTTGGGATAGACTGGTTCAACTGTTTGTAAAATTATTTGTAGACTATATATGTAAGATCACTAAATCTTAGTGGCTCTTTTTATCTAAGTTTCATCATCACCATCATATGGATTAATTGATATATTTAAAATATTTCAATATCCAAATTAAACATTTCAAAATATTAATAACTAAATTGAAATAAAACACAAATAACTGTAAGAAAATCTATGAAATTTTGTCAGCACTCCTTACATGATACTATAAACATATCAATTAATAGATTTTTTCTTTAAATAGATAAGTCAATAAGAAGTCTAAAAATGTTAATTTGATTTTAAATATTATGTAAAAAAAAATTTTTATGCAATGTTTAAATACATAAAAATTTTTATTATTAGTAGTCTGCTGATGACTTGTAATGAGTTGAAAATGTTTCAGAAGACAAAAAAGCAAGTTTGTGTCCACAGTTTAGCAAGTAACTGAATTATTTCATGAATATGGTGCCAATTTTTTTGGATTACAGTTCATGTTATAATTAATAGAATTCCCTTCAGTTAATCAAAGCATTATCCTATTTCTTTTGAATCTGAGAACTTGATATATCTGGAATATTATATCCATAATAAGAAAAGCAGAAACATCATGTATAGTTTTATAAATTTATGATCTTAATATAGTAGTATGTGTAGTATTGTATCTGGTTTTAGATTTTGTTTATAATAAACTTTCATCTTTTACATTAATTTGTATTACAATTCCTTAAAATTTGCAAATAAGGTTAATTGATATAAATTTGTATTTGTTGCTAGTGCCTCACTTATGTCATAATCTTATTAATGAATTATCTTAATAGTTTTTTTACTACTGTCAATTATTGTTGTCTATTTGAAAATGTTTATGCTTATTTGTTACTTTAAAATGTTTTAGAGACTTTTGTTGTATAGAGAAAAAATGTTAATTGGGGAGGCTGTATCTGTCCAATAATGCTGTTGCTTTCACCCTCCAGTGTTAAAACACTAAAAATGTTTAAATTAAAAATTTTGTTGTTATTAATAAAAAAAAAAACTATTATATTCATTCAGATCTGACTATGCTCTAAAAAATTTGATATCACAAACTATGTATATATCTATAATAAAATGATAAATGTATTTTCAAAGCACTTTAACATTACATTTAGAATATTTAAATTTAATCATATGTAGTAATAGTGAATAAGATTAATAATTAAGTTTGAAATTGTAATAAAAATATGCAGAAAGAATACAAGAATAAAAAATTGAAGTGCTTTCAAGTTCTGTATAATCAATCAGGAAACTTGATTCTACATAGAAACACATTTTAAAAAAAATCAGAATAAAAGTATGAAATAAAATAACTGAATTGCATAGTGTTTGACAATTAATCTTCAGAAATTTTTCACTTTTTAAATTGTCTTATTACTTTATTCATATTTAAATTAATACAATTGTATGCTATTTTAATACAAGAAAAAATACAATATATATTGTAATTTTTTTAGTGTTTTAAATATCTGCTACAAATATATTCAAATACTTAGATGTGATTTAAATTTAAAATCAAGGTATTTTTGATTATCATTAGAAAATCAAAATATTAAAAATACTTCAAATTGGGTTCTCTATTATTAAAATGTGTTTTCTTTAAATTTTAGTATGCATTAAAAACTTTTTACTGTGTAACCGAAACAAAATTATAATTCNACACACACACACACTACACAAAAGCCTGGGAACATTACAGTTAAATAGAAACACATACATGACACTACAGAAGGCCACTATATTGAATACATGTCATATTGTTAGGAAATTCCTGAATACAGACACACAGACTAATACACTTATTTAATTTTTTTTTTTTGTTTTGGTTGCTATGTCTTGACTCTGGTCCAGTATAGTACACAGCAACCGGTGTCAATCAAGTATAACCCACTAAACCCAACATAATAATAATAAAGTGAAACAAACAAATTTATATATATTGTAAAATATATTGATTAATTTAAAAAAGATACTTTCACTTATAAATAGCTCAGTTATTCTTTGAACAGAATGAAAATCAAAGCATTGCGTGTATTTTAAAGATACAGTAAACCCTCGATTTAATGGACTAATTGGGTGAAAAGGTATCTGCTATTGTCAAAAGTCCATTAAATCAAATGTGATTTAAAAATACATATTAGTAAAAAACTTAAAATATGCAATATGTGTTAATACTTATACATCATAATGTTTTAATAAAATAATGTTACAATGGACATTGTATCAATGTATATAAATTATTCATTGTTTGTTCTTTTAGCATACTCTATTTACTAAGAAAAAAGTTTTAAATTTTCCTGTAAAACAAATTTTTTTATCCATTAGATCCAAAGTTGTTAAATCAAGATCTGCTAAATTGAAGGTTTACAGTACAGTATTTTAATTTAAATTTTTTTTAATTTCCTTTTTTAAATGATTTGATCAAACAAAATAATTTTAAATTTAAAATCAAGGTATTTTTGATTATCATTAGAAAATCAAAATATTAAAAATACTTCAAATTGGGTTCTCTATTATTAAAATGTGTTTTCTTTAAATTTTAGTATGCATTAAAAACTTTTTACTGTGTAACCGAAACAAAATTATAATTCTTACTTGGAAATAATCTATCTTATTTTCACAAAATTCTCCAACATACCCTTGACGAAGGCTTGAGCATCTAAAAAGTTTACATACTGTATAAGTTTAAAATATTAGTAACCTATAAACTATTAGATAAAATATATAATTTAATTCAAAGTATCAAATAATTTATATTATGTATAAAAACAAACAGTCTAAAAATAAAATGACATTTGACAAATTTTCTAAATAGAATATGCAATAATATCCTAAATATAAAATATATTGAAATAATTTTATAATATAGCTTTTATAATAAAAAATAATCCAAAATTCTATATTTTATTTTAATGTTTTAGAATACCTGAGTTTGGCATAAATGTGTATTTTGAGCATTAACATAAAGTATATAATNACAATTCAATTAAGGAAGCCTTAAAAAAAAAAAAAAAAAAAAAAAGAAAATTATATTAATACAAAAGTGCATGACCGCCTCTGACAGGTTTCTATTATGTTAGAAGGTTTTTTTTCTCCTCTTTAATTTACGATTTAGTTTGATTTATGGCTTTTTTCGGACTCCTCCTATAAGAAATAAAAGCTATACGTAACATTAGATAGAAAAATCGATATTTTAATCAAATAAGCTATTAAACTTCTCTTTTTTTTATCATATAAATGAATAAAAATGAGCATTTAAACTCTTCAAATCCTCATTTACAATAAAATCAATCATTGTAATCTAATGAAAAGTCGGCGAGGGAACGATTTCCAATATCATCATCATTCAATCTTTCCATGTGATAAGTCGGGAGGATGAAGTTACTATAGAAAAGACGTTAAAATTTTTTTTTTTTTTTTCTGCTTTTCTGACAGTAACCTAATTATAAAATTCTTATTAAAATTATATAAAATATTCAAATGTAATGGATTCTTATCTAGAATTCTAGTTACGATTCTAGGAAGTGATAAGAATATTTAAACATTGATTGATGTTTGTGGCTCCTTAACCTACTTTTTATAACGATTAGTTGTGCACGTTGACTCAGAAAATACACAGGTAAAAATCTTATTATTCATAATTGTTATTTTAAGATAATTTTCTTTCCTATTTCGGTAAGGTTAATTAAATATTCTGAATAATGTTCTATTCAAATTTCCTTCAGAAACTTTTTAATGTTTATAAATAGAGAGAATATTCTTGATATATTTTAATGCAAAATAAATATTCTTGATATATTTTAATGCAAAATAAAATACATTAACAGAGCAAGGTCTGTTTTACACATATATTAATACTTACACAGTAATTTTTTTTTCTCTTTTTTTTTAATAATTAAATTTACATTTATGAACATGAATTACACGAAAGAAACGAATCTCTTATGTAATTTTCCTGTTAACATTAATTCTATAAGAGAACAATAATCAGTCTGACATTATTGATAGGAATTGTAAATTAATTATAACCTTATTAGATACATATATAATAATTAATTCTAATGTTATTTAGTATTGTAGAATTAAAGCTCTCTGTTTCTCTTAAATGAGACACTAACTTAATTGCCAAAATTATTTATAAAGATTTATTGGAGAATGGACAGCAAAACAAATGGAAGATTCTTTTATTGGGAAGTAGGGAACAATTCGAAAAAAATTTAAGTGTTGTAAATGTGATATTGCTTCATGATGTGTGTGGTATCCAAAATATTATTCTAATCAAAACTGTGAATGTTATGTATGAGGAACTTTAATTAAAATGTAAGATATGTCTCGATGTTTTCTTTTTTTATGAAATTTGTAAGGTTTTTCGTCTCATTCGGTATCTTCAATACCAGTTGAGAGGTTCACTTGATCAATTTTACACGTTTCTCATATTCATCTATTGTAAAATCAATAGATTTATGAGGTATCGAATATTTTTTTTAAATTAATTTTTGATATATTAAATAATAGATATCAAGTGTGCTTTAATGTATTATTTAAATAAAAACAAAAACAAGAAAAAAAAAGCATTAAAAAATTTTTTAAAAATATTTTTCTCTTTAAAAATTGCATTTAAAAAGAAATATTTTTTTCACGAAAAAATAAAGATAAACACAGTAAATTTAGAAAATAAATATCCATAATGACGATATGTGTATAATAACTAAAATTTTTATAAACATTCCAGATTCGCATGGACGGAATTTCGGTTCTTGGTTTTATCACAGACGAATCAGATGGGAAGTTGAGACATATCTGAAAAAGATAAGAGAAATATAAAGGAAATACAGATTAAAAAAAATCATTTCGATGTATAAATACGATGATTTTAAAACAACTCAACTGTGCTGCTTGAAATGTTTTTTCTGTTTGAGACGTTTCGGAACCGTCAATAACCAAGCCCCCCTTTGCGTTTGAGTTTCGGCAAAAATGTATTCAAATACGTGACTTTCGTTGCATTGAGGAAAATGCCTTCTTCCAGTTTTGAAATATTCCATATCGTCGCCATTTTGGATTGGGCAATCTTTACCGTTACCATTTAAACATTTGATTTCTCCATTTTCTTCCGTGCTACCATCTTGAGATGACGCTTCTATCGATTCTTGACTATTCATATTTTCTGTTAAAATGCCGGGGGAAGAAAAAAGGTTTTCAATAACTAAAATTTAATAATATTTAAAAAAAAAAATACACTTAAAATGCAAAAGTAACTACTGAAAATATCGATCGAGGTCGTTGTCTGGCAGTGAAGCCTCCACCCATTCATTTTTATCGATTTTTAGCCGGCTCTAATTTTTTCGGGTGTGTACCTTTTCCGCCAACCTAAACACTAAATATTCGGTGCTATAAAACTGCACGATTTTATTTCTACTTCTACAGATTTGTCATGAAATCAATTAATATGCCGTTCGTTTTACTGTAATCGAACTAGAAATGCCGTACATTCCATCAGTTAAATAATTACATTACCCGTAGCAAGTCATAAAATCTACCATTTTTATAATGAAAAATTGTATAAATTTTTATTTTTTAAAAAAATATTTCCTATTTATAAATAAATAAATTAATTAGTTTTATAAAAATTCGCGTAAATAATTTAATTTTTATCGTATCTAATAACATATTTAAATGCAAAATTACGCAGAGTTAAACGGTAATTTTAATTAATCCACGCAAAAACCGTTGAAGAAAATTAAAATTCTATTATTTATTTTAACATTCTATTCTTTCAGTAATGTTATTTATGCATATTTTTTATAATAAATTTAATATTAATTTACATNAAAACATTTTAGAGACAGTTTAAAAGACTTTGTTTCAATTTTTTCATGTTATTTTTCAATCTTTCAATTCATTCATGTCTAAATTGTGTGTATAGTATTGTCTATAGATCAGCTGACACCACATAAAACAAAATTCCATGTAAATTTGTACTTCACTCCAAGCAGTCCCAGATGATTTCTTAAAATATTTATGCAACCATTTAAAATGAACAAAAAAATTTTAAAAACATGCTTAAGCAATTTACTTTTTCTATAATGAACAACATTTTAGTTCTATGTTTCTGAATATATACAATAAAAATTTATTACACTGTAGAGAATACACCATAGTAATCCTTCCATTTACGCAAATAATTGGTTCCACAAAGTATATAAATAAAAAATGGAGCCATGGAAAGCTGTTTAAAATAAGGATCTGTTTCATATTCTTAAATACAGTGTTATTCTTGTTGGTTAGAAAAAAGCTTTAATTATATAGATTATTTTAAAAAAAATAAAAACTATAAGAAAAAAATGCTTTTTGATGTAACTATCATTTATTTCCATAAAGTTGATGTTGATTATTTAAAATTTAAACCTGTTAAAGTGAATTTGCATAAATAGAAAGATTACTGTACTTAAGAAAAATACTTGAAAACCAGATATTCATCACAGTAACATTCAGCAGTTATCCATGTCCAGAATGTCAAACTGAAGAGACCAATATGCTGACTTAAGTCAGATTCAGTGGCACCAGAAATGGATAAACCTAACCATTTGCATAAAATATGAATCCAAACATGCCTGTAGAATTTTCTTTTGTGGTTCATTCTTCAAATTTTATTCGGTGATGGTCATGGCTGATGCCTTAACTGCCTCTGCTTTCCATCCATCATTTTGCTACCAACAGTAGGATACTACCAGACTTCAGAAGGGGCTTTAGCCCTACAAACCCTTCTGTCTATGTTCCTGGATCCAAATATATCAATCCTACTTAAAACAAGACCCTACTTATAATATGCTTCTTAAACTGGTATTCAACTTTTCAATACAAACAATAAAATGTATATAAGTGTATAAATAAAAACAATTTTAAACAAGGTTTAAAATTGTTTTTATTTACACACTTATAAAAATTAATAACTTCAGTATAATTAAAATTAGATACTTAAAATTCAATTGAACTTTTTTAATGCTATCTCTTAAAAACAAACGATTTGGACAATTTAGCATTCAGAATTTGTTTTTTAATGCAGAAATTGCACAGAGTAAAATACTAAGAAATTAATGGAAAACAAATCTTTGACTATTCTTATAATTCAAAATATTTGAATAACTAGATTTCAATATAACTATCTATATTTAAAAATTATTTTATTGAAATCTATTCTATTTCTATCCACTTTTTACTAAAAAGAAAAATTCTAAATTCTAAAAGCTTTTTCTAGAAGAAGCTAATTATTAATGATTATAATAAATCATCACAATCACTTGAAATAAATAAAAACTGAACATATAAACATTTAACAAGTAATAAACTGATATATATACTTGTTTTGATTTCTACTGTGAGGTCCCCATAATTTATCACAAGCTTTTTCACGAGGCAATAACAATGGTCCAGTCACTTGTTTAACTGTAACGACAAAAAACAAAGAAATTAGAATAAGACAACCAATATATCCATGCAATAGCTAAATAGATATATAAAGCTATATACCAACCAAAGCTGAATTTGGGCTAGAACCAGCTAAACTAATAATAATTTATAAGATAATTTGGTACTAGAGTTAGGTACCGGCTAAACTAATAAACTTATTATTTTAGCCGGTTAGTCAATTAAGTTTGTTTATAACTACATATATGTGAGGCCAGCCGATTAGGGGTGAGGTGTTTTCGACAGCCGAGCGGTTAATTCTGTCGTGTGGACGCGGAATGACTCACCGAGACAGGTTTACCATATAAAACCGTTTAATAATATACATAAATTGTTCTTACAACAATTCAAGAAGTCAGGCGAACGCCTATCCCACGATNATTTAGTCTTTAATTATACTATTTTTAAACATACTTTATCCTTGGGTTTATAAATTTTTGAATGAGAAAATTTTAAAATTTATGTATAAATTTATTCATCAATAATATGCTTGCTTTGTTATTTAATCAGTTTATTATTAACTGTGTTTACTTTTATACTTCATTACTCTTCTTATCATTATTTCTTTTCAATTTCTTGTTTTAATCGTTAAGCTGATTTTCAATATTTTAATTTTGTTTTCTTTTTATTCATTGTTTATTTTTTCCAATATTCAATATTATCTTTAATTTATGAAAAGTACTCTTGTATAAACAAAATACATAAGCTTTGATTGTTATTTTTTTCAATTTCATCTATAAACCATTAAGAAATCAGAAAATATATCTACATTTGATAGATATTACCTATTCAGTGAATTATGTACTGAATAGGTGAGAAGGGAAAAATTTCAAAATTATGTTTAAATCATTTTTTGTGTATATATGCTTCAAAAACTTTTTACCTAATGAATTAAATATTCTATATTTTTAGTATTTTGGTTCATTCATCCTTTGGTAGGAAGTTGAGTATTACTAGAATTTTTAGTACTAATAAGTTAACTTACTTTTTATCATCATACACTTCTATTTATTGGTATCTTTTAATTATTAATTTTTATAAAAATTGGAAAGTAAATACCATATTTCAGTATATTTACATCACATGCATGATAGTAAATAAATAATCATAAATTAAAATGTAATGGCTAAAAGTTAAAAATCTGTAGATCTTCATAGTTATGATACACATTTATAAAACTTTGTTTAAATTAACACTCCTAAACCTTATAACTCCAGTAATAAACATTTAATAGCAAACTAACATTTAATAGCAAGATTACAATACAAAAAACAAAGTTTTTTGTATTGTAATCTTGCTATGTCTTTTGGCTGATAACTGATGATAGTACATAATTGTTATTAATTAATGTACTGGTTAAAACTGATGATAAACATCAAATATTTGTTTCTTTTTTTTTCAATTATTTTTCACAGTACAAGAATTTAAATTGAGTGTTGCAAAAAACACAGACAAATAGCAATTCATTCCGTGTGTAATAAATCATCAAGTAATACATTTTATAACTGTTTTAACATATTTTTAATATCAATGTCAATAAAACCAAAATTCCCATTACTTCATTGACTTACCTCATTTAATGTTATCAGTAATTTATCATCATCGGTATAGACATGTCCCAAAGTGATTACAATAAGCAAATTATATTATATGAAGTTTCAAAATACATTATGTACTTTGTTGATATGTGCTTCTTCTCCTTAATTACTTATATTATACTTTGTCAACTTTGGACATTCTTGTGTATTAGAAAATGTTATACTGAAAGAAGAGAAACACATAATTTCCAATTAAACTATATTTACTGTAACATAATCTTGATTACATTCCCTCAGTATAACAAATCCTAGTACACAAGAATGTCCAAAGTGGACAAAAGTATAATTATGTACTTTTAAAAATTTCATCATTTTAATAATTAAGATATCTACAAACAAAAGATAAAAAAAATTTTATTTAAAATTAAATTAATATATACAAAACTATAACATAAATTTTATATTATAATATCATAAACAGAAATACATATAAGGTTTTAAACATCTCAAATGTACTTTGAAAACTTTTAAAATAAATTACTTGTATTAAAAGGCAATCTATTATAATAGAAAATAAAAAAGTTATTTTTAAGTAATAAGGAAAAAATGTAATAAAATTTTTAAAAATTTATATAAATTTCGACAATTTCATTAAAATTTTGGATCAGCTTTAAATATATTTTATTTATTAAAATTATACACATATGATCATTCAAGTAAAAAATTTAAATTAATATATTGTCAAATATCATTGACCTGGCACAATATCATTGTTCTTCATGTTTTATCATATTAAATTTCTTTCCTTATCAATATATAAATTAAAATTTTTTATAATGTGAATTTAAGTTATGTAAAAAGTTTAGAAATTATGTAAAATTGAATTTCATTGTAGTTTTTCTATGAATTGTATTAGAGAATAATTCTGCAAAATCATTTGTAATTGATTCTGATTTATTAATTCTAATATAAATTTATGATTTATAAATATATACATATATTTATTTATTTTATTTATTTACAGAAGTTATACATAATTTAATAACAATAATTATGTCATACCACACACACACACACTACACAAAAGCCTGGGAACATTACAGTTAAATAGAAACACATACATGACACTACAGAAGGCCACTATATTGAATACATGTCATATTGTTAGGAAATTCCTGAATACAGACACACAGACTAATACACTTATTTAATTTTTTTTTTTTGTTTTGGTTGCTATGTCTTGACTCTGGTCCAGTATAGTACACAGCAACCGGTGTCAATCAAGTATAACCCACTAAACCCAACATAATAATAATAAAGTGAAACAAACAAATTTATATATATTGTAAAATATATTGATTAATTTAAAAAAGATACTTTCACTTATAAATAGCTCAGTTATTCTTTGAACAGAATGAAAATCAAAGCATTGCGTGTATTTTAAAGATACAGTAAACCCTCGATTTAATGGACTAATTGGGTGAAAAGGTATCTGCTATTGTCAAAAGTCCATTAAATCAAATGTGATTTAAAAATACATATTAGTAAAAAACTTAAAATATGCAATATGTGTTAATACTTATACATCATAATGTTTTAATAAAATAATGTTACAATGGACATTGTATCAATGTATATAAATTATTCATTGTTTGTTCTTTTAGCATACTCTATTTACTAAGAAAAAAGTTTTAAATTTTCCTGTAAAACAAATTTTTTTATCCATTAGATCCAAAGTTGTTAAATCAAGATCTGCTAAATTGAAGGTTTACAGTACAGTATTTTAATTTAAATTTTTTTTAATTTCTACGAAACTTATGCTATTTTAAGATTTATTATATGATATAATAATAAAATTAACTGTATTTTTTTAAAACAAACTTTTTGATAAAGTATATTTAATGTATATATTAAGAACGTTTCATAATTTTAAAACTGAATTATATAAATTAAGATTTATTATGCTAATTAATTTTTATGTATCATTTGTAAAATTTTTCAATCTTGTAGAAATATTTTAAAATTAAATAATGAAAGTTTATAAAAAAAAAATTGTTTGTTTTTGTTTTTCTATTTTATATATTTTTATTCAATAATTCATTTTTCAAAATTATATTTACTGTATATATTACCATAAATATATTTGAGTAAAATTTAAAATATGATATATTTAATTTGGTATATTCATTTTAATTTATTACTTTCATTTTTTACGTAACTGTTTAATTAATTCAGGCAGAATTGATATTAAGTTGAGTTAAATTTCAGGTTATGTTTCAGATTAACAATGAATTTATTCTAAATGATTAGCATATTTCTTGATATTTTAGAAATAAATGACATTTCATTAGAAAAAAATATGTCGTAAATTAAAAACCCAACTTTAGAATTAACATTATTTAAATGGGGATAAATTAATAATAATTAAAAACTAATTTAAATTAAGTAAATAAGACAAATGTAAATTCATAGTCTAGACTAACAGATAATTAACCTGTAAAATACAACTTTTTTTGCTTTTCTTTTTTTAGAGATAATAAATTATCCATTTTAATTAATGAAATGAACTAAATTTAACAGAAAAAGATTTCATATAAATTTAAAAAAAAAACAGCATTCTTATTCTGATGATTCTGGGATAAACTGTTTTATGAATTATTTTAAATAAATTACCTTTACTTGCAAATGATTTAAGTTAGTTTGACATGATAATATAATTTTATATATAAATATATTTGTTATATCTTTTTTATTTTTACTCTTTGACCCATGAGCACACTAAGGCAGCCTTTTTTTCAGGCTTACTATATGTAAGATTTAATTTTAAAAAATTGCAAAAGCAAATATGTTTGCAGATGTGTTAACTTTGATAGATATTTTATAATTAAAAACAAACTTTTTTCATTGCAGCAATTTTTTTTTTTCTCCCAATTTTTGAATAATTAACAATTGCTCCACTGCATAAGTAAGCACTAAATTACTTGTTCTTATATTTGTTTTTCTAGAAAACATTAAAATACTTTATGAATATGAAAAAGTTTCTTGTTAATTTTTTAATATTAAAATATGTTTTGAGTGAAAAATTTATTACATAATAAATTATTTTTAACTATATATTTTCAAATCTTGTAATTATTTAATGAATTTTAGAGAACTATGCTCCAATATGGTATGTGATAGAATTTCAATATTTACAAAGATGGGAACCATCATGCTTTTTTGAATTAACAAAATCATTCACTCCACTTTTATATGGCTTTCTTGCATAAATTTTAAGAACAAAAATATAATTTGATTTCTTAAACATAGTTCATTTATTAGAAAGATATTTAATCATATATAATTAACAAAAAAAATCCTTTATAAATTAAATATCATTACTTATATTTTAATTATAAGCCATTCAGTCTTTTTTTTAAGTTAGTATAATTAATAAAAAATGCTTTTATTATATAGATTCTTTTATTTAATATTTATAATAAATGGAAACAGAGAATATCATATTTTGTTTTAGATATGAATTCCTCATTGCATATTAAAATTTTTTGAAAATCAATAATGGAATCTAGATCGGTTGGGATGAAACAATCTCTTTTTTTTTTATTCACTCAATGAAAGATTTCAAACATTGTTTAAAGAAATGTTATTTATAAGAACTATAGTATTTTTAAAATTATTTAATTTTTTTAAATTAATTTACATTATTTTAATTGAATAAAATTATAATCAAAATGCATGATAATAAATTTGTTATACTTTCAATCATAATATTTCTTATAAAAGGGAATAATTGTTTTCCAATTAGTTATCAACATGCATGAATCATACAAATGAAGAAAACAAAGCAAATAAGAAAACAAACTGTTTTTGGTAAGATAAATGAAATAATTACATTAATTTTGAATCAAAATAAAGTTTTATATACTAAAATTGTGTATTTTGGAAAATAATTGTTAATTTAGAATACTACCATTCAAAAACTGAATATACTTGAACTAAAGACACTAAAAAACTTAATATCCAGCAGAGAAATTTGGAAGTGCTGGATATTAGGTTTTTTAATGTCTTTAGTTAATTTAAATATATAACTGTTAAATATCTGTGTCGAATTCTCTTCAAAGAAAATTATATTAATTTGTTTTTATAATAAAATTTCTAAATTTGAGTTTTTAAACAGAGTTTACTTTCTAAATCAAAATAATTTAGTAAATGTCAGTCTAAGATTTGAAGGAAAAAAAAAGTTTTCTTACACACAAGAAAATAATCTTACCTGAAAGTAATTGTGACATTTTATTCCTAGCTTTTTCTACAATGGAAAAGAGTCTTGTTGTTTGTTCAGCAACCATACCATGGTCCATTATACCATAATAAACATGAATTCGAATTGGCTTAAAATCACTTGATATGTCAGCTTTATTCATATCTCTCTTATGTTTTGAACTATAATTAACAAAAGTTTTTACAACGTCATTTGATATGATATCGTCAAATTCGCAACAGTATCCAAATTGTGGATAACATCCAAGCACACTGAACAAGACCATCATAAAAAGTAGCCTATCACAACACAATCTTCTTTTTCTCATTATTTTTCTTTGTGGCTTCTGAAAATATTAAATTATGTTACATTATACTTATTTTATTAATTTTAAATGATATTATAGTATTATATATATATATATATATATATATATACATACAGTAATACCCCAAACTTACACGATAGGTGGGACCGAGTGATAACCACGTAAGTCAAATTCGCATAAGTTGGGGTATAATTTCGCAATTTGTGTAAAATCCAAGTCGAATGTATGTAAGCTAATAAATGTTCTCATCAATCTTATCTCGTCTTTTGATTCGTTCACGGTTACAAGAAATCACCACATAGAGTCTCTCAAGTCTCCGTAGATATAACAAACAAACACAAAATAAATTGTAGCTATGTGTCAATTCCACACAACACATCCGATTATGTAAGTTGAACAGTAGTGTGGGGTTCAAAACTAATCAAGAGTTGCGTGGTGCGCAAATAAAAGACGAATCGATGAGATTTGAAAATCGCGTAAGTCAGGGTAGTGTAAGTTGAGGTATTACTGTATATATTTACTTTTATTAATGTTAAACTATGGTAAAGATTAATTAATGATAAATATATTATGTTTATGTTTTAGAGAGAAGCCAACTTCATCAATTATCATTCTATTATAGTTGAATATAATTACAGATGCAAGTAATAAAATTAGAAAATTATAATTAAGTAACAATAAATAAATAATAGAGCACAAAAAATTATCACATAAAGAGTTTTTAAATTAAATTTTTAAAAAATGAAATTTATTAAGAAAGAAATAGTTTAGAATGAAAATTCAATTTAAGAAAAACACCAGAGTTACTAATGCTATCACGATGAAAAATAACAACAAAATAAATCAGTTATATAAAATAAAGTATTTTCAAACTTTAATCTGGCGAATCCTTAGAATTTAAAAGGATTAATCAGGAAGTTGTTTTTGTTTGCAGGGAAAAAATGGATCAAAGTAGTTAGATGCAATTCTTTAATTTTTATAAAACCAATACAATTTTATTTAATTTTAAAAACATATAAATACAATTCATATGATTAAAAATAAAAAATTTTTAGCAGCTTTTCTTTTCAATTAAAAATTTTAATTAAGTATTTCATTATGGTTTTTTTCAACTTTGTTAAAAGAAAAAAAAATCAATCTATTATTTAAAAATAAAAATATCTAAATTTGTAAGAACTTATTAGAAGCTTTAGATTTTTTGTTCAGTTATTTTTTTATAATTATAAACATTAATGAATTAAATTACAAAAATTAATAAATATATTTTAATAATTTGAGAATTATGTAATATTTCAAATTTAATAACATTATAACAACATATATCTTTAATATTACCTTACTTATTATTAAATGTAGCAGCTCAGCAATGTAATGTCACAGAAAACTGAAAACAAAATCTGTAAGCAGTGATGTAAAATTAATCATCTCATTAATGCAAAAGAGAGAAAAATGAATAAAGAAGCCATTAAATAAGATAGCAATATTGTCCTTATATTGAACACTTGTTCTTAAAATATTTCTTAAAAAATTGAAAACTATTTAATTTTAAAAAGAAAATTATTATTAATATTCAGTTTTTATCATATATGATAATCAATTTATTCTTAAAATATCAGATATAAATATAATCATTGAAATATTGAATATCCTAAATTTATTTAATTGTTGAATCTGTTACAACTTTTTTTCCTCAAAAATGACAAAATTATTTGAAAATTAAATAGTGATTAGCTTAAAGTTCTAGTATCTGCCAATTTTATTACTTACAATTATCAAATGCACTGGGTGTAAATTTAATTTGATAAAATAAAGTAAATTCTTATAACTTTTCAAATTAGCAGATATCAAATTTTACTTAAAAAGCTACATTTAAAAAAATTAATATAAATGTTTAAAAATTTATTTTTTTAATAATGAAAACAATGAAATAATGAAAAAACAACTTCAATTTTTAAACATAACAAAAATCTACTTTAGTAGGGCTCAATTATATTTAATGAGAGCAAGCTCCAATAAAGCAGATTTTTGTTGTTATTTTTTCGAAACATCAATTGATGAATTGAAGATTTCAGTAATGTTTTGGAAAAACTATTCCGTAATGAAAACTGAAAGAAAAGAAAATTTACAAAACTAAATTAGCTGAACAGAGGAAGAAAACTACATTGAAATGGTGGAAAGAAGTGAAAAAAATGGTTTTTTTTTTTACTTGGATTTGAAATTAAATTTAAAAGAAATTTCTTGATATACAAAAATATCATTGGACTCAAAAATTATTAAATCACCATTCAAAAAAGAAAAAAGTTTGATAACAAACTAGTAACAACTGAACACGCACACACTAAGTAAAATACAATGTAAATATACACTAGAAATGGAAGGAGAATGTGCAAAATATTAAAATGTATAATAATAAATTTAAAATGCTTTCTAGCTTTTTAAAACATGCAAAATATTCTAAATTTTTCACTTACTCAGAGACCAAAAGTAGACTATAAACCATAAAATCAATTTAAATTCTATAATGATATAGAAATAATATAGAAAGTATTTATAAAAATAACTTCCTAATTATTTTCAAACATATGTAAATATTTTATTTTAAATATTGATAGTTATATTATTAAAAAATATTAAAGTGTGTTAAATAAACATTGAACATATAAATTATGTAGTAATAATATGAATGAACATGCAATCATTAGATATAAATTCTATATAAAATTATTTATGTTTTTCAAAAGCATTCACATTTTGCAGCTGGAATTAGAATGATATATTACATTTCAATTAAATTTTAAATAATAGTTACATAATTGTATATTATATATCATAATTTCAGTCACCATTATGATATAGTGATCATTACAAGAGCATAAATTTGATACATTTCCAAAATATTAAGATCAGCTAATCATCTAATATAAATTTAAATCAACTAATCATATATCTATATACATTTATATTTAGTGTAAGTGTGTATATATTATCAACTAAACAATACATTTAAACCATTAAATAATAGTAAAAAATCATGTTCCTTTGTTATAAATATATAATTATATTTTTCATTTAAATGTTTATTTTTTATTTGAAAATCTTCATAAAAGTATATTTTTCAAAATGTTTGTCATATAAAAATGCATCAAAACAAAAAATTTCCAGTTCTTTCTGGTTACTTCTCAGAAAATCAATTTTATCATACAACAATTTCAAGTAAGTAACCAATAAAAAGTTTAACACTTATTGCAGAGTTTCTATCTTCAAGTACAAAGCTCCAATTTACACAACAAATAGACAAAGAAAAGCAAATTTTAAAAATTCAATAAATTTAAAAAACAAAAATATAAACTATGAGAAACTAGATTAATTCAAGACAAACAGCAAAAAAGTAATTTAATTAACTTGGTAAATCAATTTCTTATTCAATTCCTTATGACAGTGCATTTTTATACTGTGTTACAGCTGGAAGAATAGAAAAACTTTCTCTTATTATTTTAATTAATTTATATTTTACTTTAAAACATTTTTCCATTGTTAAAAAGCTTAGAGATATTAAAATATTATATACAAATGAACAGTGAATAAATAAATTACATAAATATTAATAACCACAAATAAAAAAAATTCTTGGAAATTAAGAACATTGTAATAATAATTATAAAAATAAAAATTTCTTTAGAATTAATTTATGATTTTGTGATGATATATGCTAAATTAAAACATTTTAATGCTGATGATTTTCAAGTTCTTTGGCTAAATTAAAATATTAATAATTTTGTAAGAAAATAAAATACACAATATGTAATTTCAAAAACAAGATTTTCATGCTGTTCAATGATTTCACAGAAAGTCAGAAGATTCACAGATATATTATATTCTATAATTTATGCAAACTATTTGAAATTATAGTACTTTCTCTCTAATTTTTAAATAATTGTTGATAATATTTTTTAATATCTATCAATATAAGTAAAACCCTACACTGTGCATATAATTTTCTACAGTTTACATAACGACATAATACTTTGATCTCAAAATAAATAATATTAATATACATTTAAAAATAATTTGAATAAACTTAAAATTTGATTAATAAATAATATGATAATTTCAATTTTTGTAATAATATTACCCAACATTTTAACTGATTACAGTTATATTTTAGGTTTTACATAACATGCTGATTAAAGATATTCAAATTTAAAAACTATTTCTGTTTAAATTATTATTTTAAAAACTTTGTTTAATATTACAAAAGATTTGTTTTAAATTTATTTAGCTAATAAATCTGTATCATCTAATACAAGTTTATGCAACATTTACAGAGATATTATAGCTGCAATTATATAGTTTTCATATATGTTAATGTAGGAAAACTAACTAAAGTTAGTTTCATTTTATGTAAATTTACTTTCCATAAAATGAAAAGTAAAAAACAAAAACAATTTTAATGAAATTACACGTAGAATCCAATTAAATTTTTAAAATTATGCTTTAAATTAATTATTTCTCCATTTAATTTCTAGCTTTTGTATTGATATTGTTTTTGTTTTTAATTTCACATACAAAAAAAACATTAAAGAAAAAGTAACCATCTTATAAAGTTACTTTACTTTTTGCAGACAATTATGCCTAAGGGTAAGTTATTATTCAATTAAAAGAAACACAAAGGGAAAAAAAAATACGTTAAATTNTACACTTCTATTTATTGGTATCTTTTAATTATTAATTTTTATAAAAATTGGAAAGTAAATACCATATTTCAGTATATTTACATCACATGCATGATAGTAAATAAATAATCATAAATTAAAATGTAATGGCTAAAAGTTAAAAATCTGTAGATCTTCATAGTTATGATACACATTTATAAAACTTTGTTTAAATTAACACTCCTAAACCTTATAACTCCAGTAATAAACATTTAATAGCAAACTAACATTTAATAGCAAGATTACAATACAAAAAACAAAGTTTTTTGTATTGTAATCTTGCTATGTCTTTTGGCTGATAACTGATGATAGTACATAATTGTTATTAATTAATGTACTGGTTAAAACTGATGATAAACATCAAATATTTGTTTCTTTTTTTTTCAATTATTTTTCACAGTACAAGAATTTAAATTGAGTGTTGCAAAAAACACAGACAAATAGCAATTCATTCCGTGTGTAATAAATCATCAAGTAATACATTTTATAACTGTTTTAACATATTTTTAATATCAATGTCAATAAAACCAAAATTCCCATTACTTCATTGACTTACCTCATTTAATGTTATCAGTAATTTATCATCATCGGTATAGACATGTCCCAAAGTGATTACAATAAGCAAATTATATTATATGAAGTTTCAAAATACATTATGTACTTTGTTGATATGTGCTTCTTCTCCTTAATTACTTATATTATACTTTGTCAACTTTGGACATTCTTGTGTATTAGAAAATGTTATACTGAAAGAAGAGAAACACATAATTTCCAATTAAACTATATTTACTGTAACATAATCTTGATTACATTCCCTCAGTATAACAAATCCTAGTACACAAGAATGTCCAAAGTGGACAAAAGTATAATTATGTACTTTTAAAAATTTCATCATTTTAATAATTAAGATATCTACAAACAAAAGATAAAAAAAATTTTATTTAAAATTAAATTAATATATACAAAACTATAACATAAATTTTATATTATAATATCATAAACAGAAATACATATAAGGTTTTAAACATCTCAAATGTACTTTGAAAACTTTTAAAATAAATTACTTGTATTAAAAGGCAATCTATTATAATAGAAAATAAAAAAGTTATTTTTAAGTAATAAGGAAAAAATGTAATAAAATTTTTAAAAATTTATATAAATTTCGACAATTTCATTAAAATTTTGGATCAGCTTTAAATATATTTTATTTATTAAAATTATACACATATGATCATTCAAGTAAAAAATTTAAATTAATATATTGTCAAATATCATTGACCTGGCACAATATCATTGTTCTTCATGTTTTATCATATTAAATTTCTTTCCTTATCAATATATAAATTAAAATTTTTTATAATGTGAATTTAAGTTATGTAAAAAGTTTAGAAATTATGTAAAATTGAATTTCATTGTAGTTTTTCTATGAATTGTATTAGAGAATAATTCTGCAAAATCATTTGTAATTGATTCTGATTTATTAATTCTAATATAAATTTATGATTTATAAATATATACATATATTTATTTATTTTATTTATTTACAGAAGTTATACATAATTTAATAACAATAATTATGTCATACCACACACACACACACTACACAAAAGCCTGGGAACATTACAGTTAAATAGAAACACATACATGACACTACAGAAGGCCACTATATTGAATACATGTCATAT